CGCTTTTCGGTTCCTCAATTTGTTTGATTTGATTTCGGCATAAAATTCGTAAAATTTTGCTCCTCTCTGACTAGATCATGCATTCTTCGAGTTGTCCTATTCAGAGTCATCCAGTACTGGTTTAACCCTTACTTTTCCTAATTCTTTCCGCCCACAGGGCCCAGATAGCCCGCGGGATCTTTTACTTACTTTCGCGGGTAATTTATTTGACATGTGATTATAACATTTTCTGAACAAATCATTGACAGGCAGACATTTTTAGACACCAAAACTCGTTAAGGGATGGGATAGGAAAAAGAAAAGAAAGTACCTTCTCGGCTCGATTTTGTCGTTCTTCGATCTTGAAGTTTAGATGTATACGGCTGAAACGAATAACTGCAGACTTAGAAGAGCAAATGCATGTAAAAGAAAATTAATATGCAAAAAAAGCATTCAATGAATAATACTTAATGTATGAGTCCCAGTGAATGTAAGCTCAAAGACCGAGAATGCTTTTATCGAAATCGACACAACGGAAAGAGTCTGTCCGCCAGTGGAAATCTTCTAATCGTATTTATGAGAGAAATGTGAATTATTCGGATGAATCAGTAGATCCGTTAAGGACTAGTGAATGCTGTGGGCCAGTAAATCCTAAAACGAACGGTAAATTCTCAGGAATTGAAAAAATCCCCCAATAAGCGATAAATCCAAAAGAGTCAGTACCGAAAAAATCACCCAAACACACCCGGTAAATCAAAACCGGTTTTTTCGGACAACAAAATCCCAAGCTACGGATAGTTCAAGCACGGAAAGGAGAGCCATGGATCGAGGAAAAGACGGAGTACCAGTATCATAAAACAGGAAACTTAAGAAAAAAAAAACCTAGCCTTCTGCTGGTTGTTTGGGCATTTGCATCACTGCAGTACACGGCAACTGTTTCGTGAAAGAGCACTTTGACCATTTCTCTAAAATATTAGTTTATTACAGGGGAAAAAACCGAAAAACAACAGAATAACGCGGAAGTGTGAACAAACTGTAGCACAAATTAGCGTCAACACCAACGCAGAAAAATAAGAAAAAACACGAAATTTTCACTTCAGAAGAATAAAACGGTAAATTTCATTAGGCTGGAAAACAAACAAACAAACAAGTGTCAAGTTCGCTAGATGCAATTAGCAACAGCAGAAAACGGCAAATCTGAATAAAACTTTATAATAAAAAATGTCAAGTTTTTGGTAGAATTAGGATGAGCACAAAAAAAAGTCAGCGATGGCTGGGATGTCCCAGGGGGGCAGAAAGAGGAACAACCGAATCATCCAAGTGGAAAAGTAACTGTGTAGTTTGGGATTAGGGGACAAATATGATGAGGAAAAAATTAAAAAATTTGACCCAAAAAACCGAAATTTGATTCAAAAAATCGAAATTCGATCCAAAAAAAACGAAATTTGATCCAAAAAAAAAGAATCAATCCACAAAACAATTACAATTATCGATCCGGAATCACTGATTCTTACGACCCTAATGTGGCGCAGTGTAAGGCCAAAGGGTGGTGATGCGTTAGGCCTCGTATGTCCAACATCGAGGCGCCTCAAATCCACCA